CGAGACAGCGGGGACCGACAATGCGCACAGCGTCAGTGCTGGCGCCACATTTGCGCCTGCCACATTCCATCTGTACGCGCCGGACTATATGCCCCGGAGGTTGTCAGCGTACGCCTCTCTTTCCCAGCCACGATTGCCAGTGCCCTTATTCGTGTTTCAGCTGGGCGACATCCGCTCCCACGCCTCAGATTCCCAAGGCTTGTGCCTGCACGCCCTCAGGTTCTACCAGGTTTTGGGCTTATCCTTGCCATACCAACATGGCCAACAGCTTGTGTGTGTGTGTGTGCCTTGATTAACAGCCGCGACATCAATGGCCGCCTGTTTGCGCTCGACCTGCCACCTGTCATGCGCTTTGAGGCCCTGCTCCGACTCGTTGGTCTATCCGACGATGCTCCTGTGCAGCTGTACGTCGGTGCTGCCCAATGGCCAATTGGTGCAGGTGCCATGTTTAGAGTCCAGGAAGGTGACGTTCTACATGTAGTTCCTGTGGCACATCCCTTCTTTGCTGTCACCAGTCTTGCTGACATGCTCCTCGATCCCAGCAATTGGAGCACCGGATCTGCCCCCTCCTCTCTTCTCCCGGACACTGTTTGGGTCATAGCTGAGGACACTGCGTTTGCACATGTTGTGCTTCCTGGACGCCAGCATCTTCTCCCCACAGAAATCGCTAGCATTTTGGCGCTTCGTGCCCGTGCACTATATCTGCGCCCTGCTGCCAGCGCCCTTCTGGATTTTGAGCATCGCGGCTGTCCTATACGCGCTGTGCTTGCTGCCAGCACCGCTTCAGGGGGTGATAATCGGCGTCGGCGGCCCGCCATTTTGTCTTCCTTGACATGCGCCCCATCTTACAAGGTTTTTCTTGGCATTTCGTCGCTGACGGTTTGCTAGAGTCAGGTCCGCTCCTTGCTCGTCTTATGCCCCGGTGCCCGGCAGGGTACACCACTGCATGCTCAGATGGCACTGATATACCTGACCGGCTCCACCAAGACTTGCCAGTTGAGGACGGTCAGGTCCTCGTCCTCGATTTCCTCCCCCTGAACCCGACAGCTGCTGGATGGGGAGTGTTGCACACTATCCTGCCTTGCCCCCCGACGCAGAGGACAGCGATGCCAGCGAGGGGCCCTCTTTTGCAGGAAGCCCTCCCTCCCGCGAGGAGCGTCAGCCTCGTCCCACAGCAGGCACAGGCGACACAGACCATTCCACCACAGACCGGCGGACCCATGACGCCCCGCCTGCTACCCCGCTGCCTCCTTCATGGCAACGTTGCAAGCCTTGTGTCAGTCGAGCAGTTAAGTGGCGACAAGCCTACCTTGTGTGTAGCTTGGCGTTCACCTCTATCCTCCTGCACTTGGTACTTCTTCAGGCCCTCAGGTGGTTGTGTTGTGTGTCCACCCACGTCTTGCCGATCTGCGCCGCTGGTGCGTTATCACTCTCGCACCTCCGCTGGCGGCCAGGCGATCGCCTTTTCCCTTGGCTGTTGGTGCTACTCGCCGTTGCCGCATTGCCTGTTGTCGCTGCGGCCCCGTCAGCTCCTGCCAGCCATGCTGGTGGCCCTTCTATACACGGCGCCGGCTTCTTCTGTGCTGTCGGCACATTTGCTCGGCCCATAGCAACTCCCTGCCGTGCTCGCGGCCCACGAGATCATTCCTCATCCGCCGCGATTGTCAGGCACACTGCGTGCCCCAGAGCTCCAGCCGATGCTCCTGCTGCCAGGTGCCCCATGCCCGCTGATGTTCTAACATGTGGTGGGGCTGCGGTTTCTACACCTGAATGGAGCCTTCCCCCTGCAGGACAGGGCTGTGACTCGCCTACTCTGCTGGATCTCGCCGTGAGCCAGGATGATACTTGGGCCTTCCTTGCGGTCACCTTGCTCGAGACCCTTATCGAGCACTTCTCGGCACGAGCCCTGCCTGTAGCCTGCTGGGCTCCTAGCAGTCCTACCTCTGGCCCTGCCGCCGCGTTACCACATGTGCTCCCGTTAGAGGCTTGTGTGCCCCTTGCAGCTTATCAGCACAACTGTCTTGTTCTCCAAGCCTTGGTACCGGCAATTGCCGCCTCTGACTGTGCTGACTGGCTGGATGGTGACTTGAGCCCTCTGCTTACTTTAGTGTCGCCTAGGACATACAGAGTTGCAACTTAGTTACAAGTGCTGAATAAGCCACTATTGTAAATACGTTAACTGGTTTATAAGTTTTGCTAACTTAAGTTAGCAAAACACGTAGATATCGAGAAGTTGAGTAGTTAGCGGGCAGTTAGGGTAGAGCAGGAAAAAAAGTTAGCAAGAAGTTAGCGTACTTAGCGTTTTCATTAAATTTTGCATGTTTGCTGCACGACCATGTGTTTTTGAAGGTGTTTTCGATAAGATTCGGTTATAGGATAGATATGTTGAAATGTAGCCATTTCTCAAGGAGCAGGGTAGCACTGCGGCGGCCACTGTGGCGGCCATGTCGACAAAAAACTGGAAAGGGCAATTACAGCTGCCTAGATGTTCCTTATGGGGGTGAAGACGTTGCCTCAGTTCCCTGACATCCAAAGCAAGCAGGCTGCGAATCTAAGCAAATCTGCGGAAGCAATTCTATTAGCTCCGCGGTCAAAAGAAGCTGCAATTCGGCTAAAAGCCTGTGTCCGCCAAATGTCCGCCCGTGTCCGCCTGTGTCCGCCGGGTCCCAAGACTCCCCGGAGGAGTGTCCGCCGGATGTGTCCGCCGCACCCTTGCTTTAGCCGTGTAGGAGCATGTCCCTGTCCGCCCGTGTCCGCCGGTCTACAATCCAGGGCCTTGTCATAGGAACCGCCTGTCCGCCGGTGTCCGCCGTTCTCCCGCGGTCAGCAATGCCATGTGTCCGCCGGGCTGGGTGCCGTCATGCTTCATTTGCTGCTTTCTCGCAATCGCCGCTGTTGCTCCAGCAGCCTTTTTGTGAAAGACCGGCCTTTTGTTTTTTGGGTCCTTGTGCTCCCGCGAGCCATGGCACTGCAGTTTCCAGAACCCAGCGAAAAGCAGCAAACCGTCTGCAAGTACTGCAGCCTCCAGTACCCCACTCTTGCATTAGTGGCATTGGCGTGTGCTGAGGACAAAACGAAATCTTCTTCATTTGACTGCTTCTGTCGGTTGAGTTAGGCCAATTCCAGCTAAAAACGATTGAGCGTCTGTAACTGCAGAAAAACCATCAAAAAACTTAGCAACAAGTTAGCGAGTTACAAATAAGTTATAAGTCCATCTCTAACTTCATTTTAACTTGCAAATAAGTGTGTTTTAACTTGCTGCTAACTTCCTAAACCCGCGGCGTCACTAAAGTACGGCTCCTGACACCAGCCACGCAGTCAAGGAAGCCATCCCTGCCCTCGCCAGTTGGCATGCGACTGGCATATTGGACCGACCTTCACCGCAACGATTCCATGTGTATACCGACGGCTCTGCCCATGGGGCGCATGAGCCCCTTGCGAGTGCACCCTGTGGCTGGGCTTTCAACGTCTGGATCGAGGCAGCAGGCCGTTGGCTCTTCCTGGGCTACGCTTCGGGCACAGCTGTCGCTCCTTTCACACGGTTCTTCGTTGGGGAGTCCGACGACTCGCCTCTCACTAGTGAGCTTCTCGGCACAATCTGGGCATTGGCGTGGATTATCGAACACGGACCCACCTATCGTTGCCCTGTTTCTCTACATTATGATTGTACTGCTGCCGGTGAGGGCACTTTCGCTCAAGCTGCACCAGCCCGCGTGTCTGCTGTCGCGGACGGGCCTTGCCTCAGCCATGTAGCCGTCGCCTTCCGACATCTTGCCACCACCCGCGTCAACCTTACGTCTGACTATGTCCCGGGACATCGCGGTGAACTCGGCAACGAACTCAGCGACTCCCTTGCCAAATATATCCGTAGGCAGGTATTGCCTTTGGATGAGCGTGTCCTGCCGGACTGGCCTGCACATCTTGCCTGCCATGAGTTGTTGGATTGGGCGTGGCTTGCGCATGCTACTAGCACCGATCTTCCTACGCTGTTTGCGTTCGAATCGGAGGCGCAGCGTTTGCACCGTTTGCAGACAGCCCCTCTTTCGCCACGACATGCTCCCAGCTGCGGGGTCACGCAGATTGAAGTGGACCCAACAAAACCGGTGCAATACTGCATCAAAGCGGTTTCCTTCAATATCCTTACTTTGCTCGAGAACGCTAATGCACAGCGTCGAGCCAACGCGTCGGCCGGCCTTCGTGTCATGGGGCGCCGTCATGTTATTCTGCGCCAACTCAGGACTCAGGCAGTGCTCTTTACGGGACTGCAGGAGACCCGTGCGCAGGATACTGCCTTGCTCCCAGACCCAACACACATCCTCCTGATCCACAGGATGAGAAAGGGATCCTGCATGCCTTTTGGGCCGCACGTACGCAGGAACTGGACCGCCTGCCTGGCAACATGCCCGTCCTGCTTTTGACTGATGCAAATTCTCGCCTTGGTAGCCTCGAAAGCGAAGCCGTCGGACCCCTCCACTGCGAGTCCGAAACGCCAGCGGCTGCGCATTTTCACAACTTCCTGCTCCGCACTGGCCTGTGGCTGCCTGCCACCTTTCCTGATGTTCACAACGGCCCATCTTGGACTTGGCAGTCTCCGCGCGGCGACCAGCACCGACTCGATTATATTGGCCTGCCCCAAGCTTGGCGTGCCTTCTCGTGCCAATCGCGCGTCTGGTGCACCTTCGAGGCTCTCCAACAGCGCTGTGATCACCTTCCTGTCCTCCTTGAGTGTTCGTTTGCACGTGAGGACCGTGCTCCTGCCACCAGCGTCTTCAGGCGTGTTGCATGCCGGCCGAACGATTTGGATCCCGCTGTTGACCGACAAGCCTTCTACCGGGCCCTGCAAGCCGCCCCGCCCGTCAGCTGGTCCACTAATGTCGATAGTCACTTTGGCACCTTCGTTGCCACCTGCCTTCACGCACGCCCGTGCTCTCTCCCATCTTGCATGTGCTGATGTTGCTGCTGTCTGGAATTGGCTACATGATGCCAATCGCAGTCTAGCCATGGTTTGGCACCGACTCAACCAGCTCTGTGCAGAGGTCCGGCAAGCTGTTAAGTCAGACCGCTGCCGCTACCTCCAGCAACTTGTTGACGAAGTCGAACAGGCCGACCTTCGCGACCCTCGCCACCTGTACCGGTGCGTCCGCAGAGCCTTCCCTAAGGCCGCGTCTGCCAAAAGGTCCCGCTTTACTCCGCTTCCAGCGGTCGCACTTCCCAATGGAGAGCTCGCAGTTACTTCGGCTGACCGTGCGGCCCGTTGGCAGAGCCACTTTGCTGCCCAGGAATGCGGGCGGCCAGTCACGCCTGCCGCCTACAGTGAACAGTTTGCTGACACTACAAAGAGGCCCCAGTCCACTGCACCTACTGTCTTCGACCGGGGGCTGCTACCCTCGCTCGCTGAGCTAGAGGCATCAGTGCTCCAGCTCAAGAGGGGTAAAGCTGCTGGCGCCGACGGGGTGACCTCGGAATCTCGGAACTCCTTAAATTGGATGTTCCCACCGCTGCGCGGCAGTTACTGCCTCTTTTTGTCAAAAGCCTGCTCACATTACGCGAGCCAGTTGAGTTTAAAGGCGGCGCACTCATGACGTTAGCCAAGAAGGCAGCAGCAGCATTCACATGTGACAGATACCGGAGCATCCTTCTGTCAAGCGTGCCCGGGAAACTCCTACATAAGGGTCTAAGGAGGCGCATTACGCCCCTCCTACGCCGATGCGGACAGGACCTCATGGGCGGCGTCCAACCTGGAGTTGGGGTGGACTCGATTGCTGCTGCTGTCAGGAGCTTCCAAGCCCACGTCGGCGAGCACCCCGCCGTCGTGTTCTTTGACGTACGTGCGGCGTACTACCAAGTTGTCCGCGAGACTCTCACCAGTGCTGCTCCGGACGACATGGTTTTCCGGTCTCTGTTTTGCAAACTGGGCGTTTCAGGATGCAGCTCTCGCTGAGCTCCATGACCACCTCGTCACGCTGATCCACATCGTGGACAATGGCGGCTCGGCCCATCTTGAAGCCATTACCCGCGAACTCTTCGCGGGCACATGGTTTAGACTAGACCAGCACGTGGACTTGGTCGCAACCTCGGCGGGCGTCCGTCCAGGCGACCCGTTAGCCGATGTGTTTTTTGGGCTGAGTTTTAGCGCATATATTCGCTCGGTGCAGGACTCCCTCCGCAGCCAAGGCCTTGTTACGGTGCTGCCACCATGTGCCACTAGTCTGCCAGTGGACGGCCTTTCTGTTTCTCGTGAGCTCCCGCCGGCGTCATGGGCGGACGACTTCGCTGCCATGCTGTCGGCCGCTGGCCCTGCTCAGGTCGTACACAAGGTGACGGCCACCACCACGGCCTTCCTCACACATGCCACGTCTATTGGCATGCAGTTGTCCTTCGCTGTCGACAAGACTGCCGCCTTGCTGCCACCACAGGTGCTCTTCGCGGGCGTGTGCGAGCCTCCGCTCCCAGACGGAGTTGACAAGGAACATGCCATACTCGTGCGTGATGATATCACCCAGTGCAGTGTGCGGCTGCCTGCCGTTCAGGCCTATAAGCACCTTGGGGGGATAGTCACCTGCACTGCGTCACTCCTGCCTGAGATTTACTATCGCTTCTCCCAGTGCACTTGGACGCTGCGACCCCTCCGGGGCACGCTCTTTGGCAATCCCAGTATTCCACTGCCCTTGCGGCGGACCCTGCTTGGTTCGCTTGTTGCCACCAAGTTCACTTTTGGCTCCGCTACCATGGAGTTGCATGTTGCGTGTCAGTGGAGGCTTTGGGCACGGCTCTATACGTCCATCTGGAAGGCGATGCAGCCACGCTCCTCCGCCGCCCAAAAAATCCACTCCTACGAGGTGCTCCGTCAGGCGTGCGCCCTGGCACCGCCTCTCGCACTTGCCAAAGCCCGGGGCAGCCTGTATCTGCGAGTTTTGGAGCACGGGCCATCGACTCTTTTGCAGCTTTGGTGGTTACAGTGGGAGTCTTCGCCCAGCCGCTCTTGGCTTGCGATGTTACGGGGTGACCTGGACTATGTCGCCCTGTATTGCCCGGCTGTTCGTCTCCTACTGGACTCTGAATGCCCGCTGCACGCCCTCACCGAGGCTATGCTGCAGGACCGCACCTGGTGGAGGAGACAAATCAACGCCGCTGCCCGGCTTTATTTCGAGGACCTCGACCGTTGGGCACGCCGCAGGGCTGAGACACCTTCCGGCGCGGCGTCACTTTCCCCCCGTGCGGATGCCGAATACCAGTGCCCTTTCTGCCCTGCAGGCTTCCCTCTCAAAAAACACCTCAGCGTGCACATCGCCCGCCGGCACGGCCTACCGGCGCCCAAGAGGCTGTTTGCTCCCCACGCTACATGCCTTTCATGCCTACTTTTCATGCCTCAAGCACTTTCACTCCATTCCACGGCTGCAGAACCATCTCAAGAGTGTGCCTCGCTGTCTCGAGCGAGTGCACCTCTTAATGCCCCCGATGGAGTTGTCAGATGTCCGGGCTACCGAGCAGGCTGACCGCGAACACCAAAAACGGCTCCGAGCCGGTGGCTGGCAGGCCTACGACGCTAACCGGCCGGTGTTGCAAGCCTTTGGCCCCCCTCAACCCTCCCGCCAAGAGTTGCTGCAGGAGCTAGGGGACGAGGCGCCACTGTCCCTACTGGTGCAGCCCCCACCAAACCCCGCCTTCTCCACGTGGGTATGCAGTGATGTTCACGGCCGCACACGCGAGCCACCACGTGCCGGAACGCGTAGTTTCTGGTGGAAGCGCATTCAGTAGTTCTCACCCGTTTCACTGAATTCAATGCTTCGGATGCGTCTGTGGACCCTACAATCCGCCGAGAAAAAAAAGGCCCCTATATTGGGGGTTGAGGTTTCGGCTTCTCTCAGGTCTTGGGATTACGATTTCGGCAGCTGCTGTGCGAGCTGTAGACTCGACACGCGCAAGACTCAAATTTACCTTGGACCGACACCCTCTGGAATCCTACGTTCTGGCATCCAGATTCAGCCCCAAAGGCTACCATGAACATCTAAAATTCAAAGCCAGTCATCTAACCGCCGCATGCTCCGTTCCTTACTATACTATAGCATAATGGGCCCCAAAACCTTATTCCAATTAAGGCCCCTATTCTAACCACCGCATGCTCCCTAAACCCTAAACGCTCCAGTCATCTAACGCCCGCATTCTCAGGCAGTGACGGAGTGGAACTGGACGGACATCTTTCCTCAGCAGCTTTGGCCCAGTCCCGAGATATTTAGGGTTTGGGGTACCTAAAGGTTCCTTTAAAGGGTTACTATAAGGGATCTATAAGGCTTCTAAAATAGGGATTATGGTAGGGGGTTTCCGAAAATCAGGTGTACCTCGTTAATAAGGATCCTACTTTTAGGGTAGTATATCAGGGCCCCCTATTTTCGGAAACTCCCAGATGTATCCACGAAGTTGGAATGTAGACTTTCGGATTTGGGGAGGTTGGCGTGTAGAAGTCTTGTTGGGGGTGTTTGGGGTTTCTTCTCCAGCGCTTGGATGAAGTGTTGAGCTTGCGATGCCAAGCTGCTTTATCTCGAGAGATGATACATTGCTTTGAGCGAGTTAGTCTCGGCAAGAGCAAGACCTAAACCCCCCAAAGTAGGCAAAAAATAGTGGCCCAAAACCTTTAAATGGCTATTATTCTACATACTTTGGGGCTCCAGGGATGGCCTGGAGGACGGCCGAGGGCAACTCATGTTCGATAAGTCTTCGTTCAGGCATTTCGGTCGGAAAGGCAGAGATGCTCAGCTCACAAGTCAAAACAGATGCTCGGCTCATACCCAAAGACCGTTGCTGACCTGTTGTTTAAGCTTAAGCTTACAGCTCGCGTCATCTTACCATGCAAGGCACATTCACTGTTGGCTTCGAAACCCTTCATTCACATCACATCAGCAAATTAGAGTTAAAATATTGATCGACCTTTTTACAGCTGAGTAGTTTCTGCTCCATCAATATCAAAACGGCACCCCAATCCAAAATCCAGATAGCGCCGTTAGCGGGGTGGGGGGGGTTCGTTCTCTCGGACTATTGAAGGGGGGGGGGGGTCCTTACTCCAGGAGTATTGAGGGGGGGGGTTCCTTAATCCAGGAGTGTTGAAGGGGGGAGGGGGGGGTTCGTAATCCGGGAGTATAGAGGGGGGGGGTCATGGTCCAGGAAGGAAGGTTCATACTCCATGAGTATGGAGGGAGAAGATTCATAGTCCAGCAGTATGGAGACGGGGGTTATATTCCAATATGGAGGAGGGGGTCAAGTTCGAAGAAGGACAACAACAGGGTTGTAGGAGCGTGTTCGCCAAAACACAAGCAGGACAGAGCCACATGCAAACGCATTAGGGGGGCTAAAGCAAGCAAGTACAGTTTATCATGAGGATGGAAGGCTTGCAAATGGGGGGGGCTGCGCCCCCCCCAACCCCCCCGCTTGTCTTAGGCTCAACCCCCCCTTGTTTTGCGCTTCCAGACATGCGGCCTGTCGCCGGTGCCTTGTGTTCCCCGCAACCCTGCACTCGGGCCAGCTGCAGCAGAGAGGGGAAAGGGTCGGGATCAGTCAACAAGGCAACTAGTACTACTACTACTACTACTACTACGACGACTACTACGACTACTACAACGACTACTACTACTACTAGTACGACGACTACTACTACTACTACGACTACTACTAGTACTACTACTGCTTCTCCTGCTCCTTCTTCCTCACCCGATCCTGCTCCTTTTTCCTCACCCGACAAAATACTACAACAACCATTCCCAAAGAGACCCCCCCCTCCCCAAGAGTACGAGCCCCCCCCCCCCCCCCTCAAATAGTCCTGGAATAGCACCCCCCCCCCCCGTTCGTCTGGGTCCACGCCCCTTCTAGGTTGGCATAATCCTGACGTATGAACCCCCCCCCCTCATATTCTTCCCCCCCCCCCCTCCCCGCCCAGGGGGGGGGGGGTCAATACTCCGGAAGAACTAACCCCCCCCACCCGTGTCCTAGCGGCGCGGTCTCTACATTATGCAAGTTCTAACATATGCGTTGTGACTGGTGACTCAACAGTAGTAGCAGAAGGACGAGGATGAGGTGGAGTAGCAGTAGTTGTGCAGTCACCATGGTTTTGGATCCTGCCTCGCACCGAAACAAACCATGAATCCTGAACACATAGATATCCAAACAAAGCCATAGCTTCTCGTCTCTTATGCAAGCGATGACTCCTACACCCTCATCCCAAAACGTTTGGTTTCCCAGCTGAGCTCCGAAACTTTCGAACCCTGAGCGGAAACTGATATGTATACATATATATATATGTATACATATGTGTATTACATGTGCATATATATATATACACATATGTACATATACATATATATATATGTATGTATGTATGTATGTATGTATGTATGTATGTACATATATATAATATATGCATATATTCGACAGTGTATACACACACATATCTTTATATATATATATATATATACATATGTATGTATGTATGTATGTATGTACGTATGTATGTGTGTATGTATGTAAATACAGATAATCGCCAAAACCGTTCTCCCCTGACATGACTTCCGCCCGAGATTCCTATATTGTAGACCCCTGATGAATTAAAACCCTCCCCCGCCAAACGACCGTAGCTACTATTCAGGAACTTAGCAGTTTCCGATAAGGAGGTTTGTTAAACGGCGAAGACCCGCATCAAACCCACGAGCCCTTTTCCCGAAACAAGAGCTTACACTAAACGCTACACCCGAAACAATGCAAGACCCCACAAACCCTAAACCCTATAAACTCTAAACCCTAAAAACCCCTAAACCCGAAACCTTGAAACCCTGCAAGACCCTAGAAACCACCAAAAGGCCGGTGGAGATGGACCCGGGGCCGCACGGAATGTTCGTCTGGCCAAGGTGCTGGCTGCGGTATGTTTGGGCTTGGGTTTCTTGGGGATACTTACAAATGATTTTTGATCTTTGATTCTTATAATCAATAAGAAACAGCTGAAAATTAAAGAAATGCTAGGGGTCTAAGTTCAGGATAGGTGTAGGGGTTTCATGTTTTAGGGTGCGCTTTGAAGGTTCCAGAGTTTAGTTGAAGGCGAGTGGGGTTTGAGGTCTTTTGAGTTTCGGATTTAGGGGTGCTCTAGGTTTAGGAAAGTAACTTTGTCATAGTTGGGTCACATTTTAGATTTTATGGGTACTTAAGCCCAACAAGGAATAACAAACTTGATGTATAATAATATCCCAACCATGAACTAGGCAACCCTAAGCCCAAGGCATCGCAAGTTGATTCACTAGCAGCCACTGGCGTCCTCATCGTGATCCCCATCGTTACCACCACTACCACCACTACCACCACTACCACCACTACCACCACTACCACCACTACCCACTACCACCACTACCACCACTATCACCACTACCACCACCATCATGTCGATAGCTCTACCTGACAATACTAACTGAGCGCAAAAGCCCTGAAGCCCGCACCCTGAACCCCATTTCCCAAACCTTCAGCGCCAATTCCTACCGAAGCCTCAGCCTCAAAAAGTTAGAATTCGAGCCCTAACCTATGCATGCCCAAACCCCAACCTCAAACTCTAAACCCTAATCTCTAACCCTAAATCCTACCCTAAACCCAAAGCCCCAACCAGAGTCCTGTGCCGCTTTCCGCAAAGCCGTTCTGATCGAAATCCCCACACTCCACAAGCTCGTCATGGAGCGCTTCTTCAAGCCTGTAAGCGCAGCAGTTCTCTTCGTGGCTGCTTGGCTTCAAACCCTAAACCCCAGACTCTAAAATCTAAGCTCTAAACCCTAAACCTTAAACTCGAAACCCTACACCCTAAACTCGAAACCCTAGACTCTAAACCCTAAGCCCTAGACTCCAAACCCTAAACCCTAGACTCGAAACCCTACGCCCTAAACCCTAAACTCGAAACCCTAACCCTAAACCCGAAGAGGCTTCTTGAAGTGTTGAGGGGCCTAGGGCCTTACAGAGATCAGAGTTGCTTGCTTGGGTTCACGACTGAAAGTTTGGCAACCCCAAGCAGAATCTCCGAAGTTCGGAAACGCTTACAGACGAATTCGGACAGCTAGAAGCATTAATTGCGGATGACGATTTGCGACATCGGATGTTTTCTGTCATGCCGAAAATTCGCGACGTGATCGGGTTCCGGGTAACTGTTCATCTTGCCGTCGCCATATCTTCGGTGCTGGTGTCAACCCGGAAGTTCTGAATCTTCGACCTTCTCTCCTTCCCAAGACATGTCTGCCAATGTTTGCAGCATTATGTTTGACACTGAACCCTAAACCCTAGGCCCGGAACACTGAGTGATAGATGGTTCTTTGGAGGTTTGAATGGGGGCAGACCCCCGGCATGGTATGGCTCTACACAGACCTGCAAAGACCGACTCCAAAACCCTCCACCCTAAAGTGTTTAGGGTTTCGTGTTCAGGGTTGGGGGGTTTGATTTAAAGAGTTTAGGGTTCAAGGTTTAGAGTTTAGGACCTACTCCAAGCCCACCGACCCTAATTAGGCCTAAGCTCAACCCCGAAAGTCCAACGCCTTCAAACCCTAAAGCCCTATGTCTTAAATACCCCAAACGCCAAATCCCGAACCGAAAAGCCGTAAAGGACCTAATTGTATTGGTAGGTCTCTAAATTAAAGGTACCGTGTAGAATCCTTTTCATACAAATTCCTAGTATATAGTCGAGTAGGCAACCTTTAACCTTTTTCTGGGTAGTATAGTCCCTATATAATCCCTATATAACCAAAACCCGACAAGTGGGAAGTGCTGAAGTTGCAAGCCCGAAACCCCAAATCCTCACCCAACCCCTGAGCCCAACACCCGGAAGCCCTTAATCGTAACATGATGGCCTTATCCTTAAGCCGAAAACCGCCACACTCTATCTCCTGAAGGCCCTAATGAAGACGTAACTGCCTTCACCCTCTCCCCAAACCCTACACCCTAAGCCCGAAAAGCCCCAAACCCCTAAACGCCTTGAAAACCCTGAACACCATAAAAGCCCTAAGCCCTCAAAACCCTACACCCTAAAAGCCCTAAGCCCTCAAAACCCTACACCCTAATCTTGAGGTTGCTTTGCTGGGCTCTGGCCTTGCCAAGTGCACACAGCAGAGAGGAGGGATACTTCTAGTCCTAGCCGAGGCCCAGCGTGTGGGGTGCTAGGGTTTGAGGGGTTAGGGGTTTAGGGGGCTCCGGGTTCAGGGTTTAGGAGTTTGGGGTTACGGGTTTACGGTTTAGGGTTTCAGGGGTTTTTTCGAGGGTAGAATAGGGTATAATGTTGGGTTTTACAGATGGATCTCTCGGATTTTTGACATGTTTGAGGGTCGTGAGTGTTTTCAATGATTCATGGCCTTACTGTGGTCTTGCTGTACGTAGTTTGAGGCGTTAGGGAAGCTCATGATCAGTGGTTGTTATGGTTGGTTTTTCGTTGCTTGGCTGTTTGAAGGCTTCTAAGGTAGTGGTGTAAATGCTGGGTTTTTCCTGCTTTGTGATGCGGGTTCTGGCTTTACATGTTTCGGCTCCAAACCCTACAGTGAAATCCAGAAGTCTGGAGCATGGGAGCATGATTTCGGCTAGGCGTTCCTTGTCTAGACCAAAATTAGGGTTTAGGGTTCAAAAGCGATAAGGACATTGATCTTGCAGCTTTCTGGCACCTGAGCTCTAAACCCGAGCATTTTCTTCAGCGTGAGAAAGCAGAATTCGCACGTGACCTGAAGGGATGTGGAGCGCTGCTACGATTTGAGCATGTCCTCACGAATCCAGGCACATTCACGGACGTGGTGGAAGACCACCCCCCGCGCGAAAACCAAGCAGCTACTGTAACGACTTTCTGCGGGGTCTGAGGGCATGTGCAATCTGTGGGTGGACCCCACCTTTTGCAAATCTGCTTTCAGCTGCCACAGATGGACGGGCTGCATCCGCTAGTCATGCAAACAGCATTCGCCGTCTGATGTGAACCTAGGCTCCCACAGGCTCATGTGCCTTATTTTTGGCTCGGCTTGGCTTTGGTGCTACCGTGCGCTAGCTAGCCAACGCACCACCTGCCGGGCACATCCTAAACTTCCGAAACCCTAAGCTCTAGCCTGCAGGCAGGTGCCTTAAACCATATTAAGGACCGTCCGATAACTAAAAGTATAATCTGTCTCAATTAATCGCCCTTGTAGCATCTTATGTCAGTTCAACAAACAAGTATTCACGGTTTAGGAGAAGAGGGTAACATTTAGTATCGATATCGCCTAAACTCCTGAGACCAGATTCCTATGTGCAGAACCACCACGCCAGTTTAGACATCCTTTTCTCAGCTTGCTGACATGCGCATGACAAAAAATACCTGAAAACCAGAAAAAGCTCGGGCAAACCCGAAACCCTAAACCCTAAACCGTCGGAGGCCTTTGTGTCTGGCTGCTTACTCTGCGCAGCGCTCGTCCACCTCCTGGCAGATGCAAGCAAGGAGTGAGGGTCCAGGGTTTGGGGGTGAAGGGGCTTGAGTCCCAGACCTCCGGGAGGATCCAAAAAGTAGATCCCTTAATGGGTGTCCTATAAAGTACCCTTAGTAACCTTAGTAGTATAGGTGCAAACCCTAAACCCGCACACCCCTAAAGCCGAAGGATGTTCGGGGTTCATGGAGGGGCATACGACTTCAATGTGGGGCTTCTCTTCAGATTAGGTGTGCCGCTTTTGGAAGTTCTTACAAGAACAACCCTGTCTCGGGGCCAATATCTGTAAATGTACATGCCTCCTCGTTCCTGAGACTGTCAAAAAGATTATGTGGAAGCAGTTCGTTTTGCTATCAATGTACACGAAGGTTTAGGTTTCGGAGGTTCAGGGTCCTTACGCCGTGAACCCAGAGTTTAAGATGCACCTGGAAATTGCAAGGATCTGGATGGACAAGGAGGTGGCGCTTCCAATTCATCACTCCTTTCTTCCTCCTTCTTGGCTGTAATTGAATAACACTTCGCGTGGTTTTAAAGTGCGTAACCCCATGCATATCTAATTTCAGATGAAAAACCCATCGGGGTTTTCGGGTTTGGCCGTCTTCCGGTGCAAAGCTCCGAGCTCTTTGTGCGTGTTTCGCATCCGACATGTCCCGCACCCGAAGTCCCTGACTCTGAAGACCCAGTTTGAACCGCTTGGGCTTAAACCCTTATATAAGTTTCAACGTCCTGCCAATAAAAGATCCTGAATCTCAAAAATGTCCTTAACCATTAAAGATCCGACCCAACATCAACACCCACTGGCAACGGCTTACTTGAAACAAGTGAGGTGAGGATGGCGGCTATCCTTATGCTGAGCTGTATTGCGGCCTGGGAGCACTCTTTACGCATTTCCTGAACGGCGTCACTGAGCCTTGCCCGAGAACCCAAAATGTTGTTTTATAGGGTTCCTTTGGATTTCGGCTGCTTTTTGAAGAGCATACACATCAACCATATGAAAGAGACAGTTGCAATTTTCGGGACCCTTTTCGTTGTCGTCGTCTGGATCCTCTGGGTCGTCCTGGTCGTCGTCGTTGTCTGCGATGTCGCAGTCGTCAGCAGGAAGAGTAGGAGGAGCAGCAGGAGGAACAGGAGGAGTAGGAGTAGGAGTGGGAGCAGGAGTGGTAGTAGTGGGAGTAGCCGTCGTGCCGTGGTAGTAGTGGTAGTAGTGGTAATATTGGTCGAACTGTTCGCATAGTTGTCGTGGTAATCGTAGCCGCAGTGGTCGCAGGAGTAGTGGTAGTGGTGGTAAGCAGTGGCAGAAATGGAGCTAGCAGTAGTAGCAGTAGGAGCAGCAGCAACCGTAGTAATAGCCGTAGTAATACCAGTGTAGTAGTAGCAGTTGCTGTTGTTGCTGCTGCTCCTGTTGTTGCCGATGTTGCTGTTGTTGCTGTTGCTGCTGTTGCTGCTGTTGCTGCCGTTGCTGCTGCTGCTGCTGCTGCTGCTGCTGCTGCTGCTGCTGCTGTTGCTGTTGCTGGTGCTGGTGCTGGTGCTGTTGCTGTTGCTGTTGCTGTTGCTGTCGTTGTTGCGATTGCTGTCGCCGTTGCTGTTGCTGTTTTTTGGTGTTGTTGTTTTTGGTGTTGTTGTTGCCGTTGCTGTTGTGGTTGCTGTTGCCGTTGCTGTTGCGGTTGCTGTTGCTTTGCTGTTGCTCGTTCTTGTTGTTGTTGTTGTTGTTGGTCGCTGCTGCTGCTGCTTTGGTGGCGGCGGTGGTGGTGGTGGTCGTGGTGGTGGTGGTGGTGCTGCTGCTGCTGATGATGATGATGTTGTTGTTGTGGCGTTGGCGGTGTTGCTGTTGCTGTTGCTGGTATCGTTGGTATTGTTGGTGTTATTGGTGTTGTTCTTGTTGTTGGTGTTGTGGGTGTTGCTGTTGTTCTTGTTGTTGGTGTTGGTGTTGGTGGAGCTGGTGGTGTTGGTGTTGGTGTTGGTGGTGTTGGTGGTGGTGTTGGTGTTGGTGGTGTCGGTGTTGTTGGTGTTGATGTTGTTCGTGTGGTTGGTGTCGGTGTTGGTGTTGGTGTCGCTGTTGGTGTTGTTGTTGGTGTGGTTGTTGTTGTTGTTGCTGCTGCTGCAGTTGTTCAGCCGAGGAACCTCTGTGGGAGAAGTTTCAGGGCCAGAGCGATGGGGATTGCGCCTGTGAAGAGAGGCCGATTGAGGGCGTCGTCATAGAAGGGACATCTGTCAGCACTGCGCCAACCAGTCCGCAGGCAAAGGAGACCGGACTCAGTTTAAAACTTCTTTGCTGGTCTAAAGTTAGGTTTTAGGGCTTAATTCGGGTTTCGGGTTAAGGGCAATCAAAAGGGTATCAGAGGTTAACTGAGAACCCCGCAAAGCCTGTTGAAGGAGCAGGAGTCACCACGAGTGGCAGTGGGACCTGTTCTGATGATGGCCCTCTCCATACACTCCCTGCTGGAAGGCCTGACCTACCCACTGTCGACCTAGCTTTGATTTGAGTTTGGTGCCTACGATTGCGAGAGTGTGGCCATTAGGGTTGAGAGTTTGCTGCAGGGTTTAGGGTTTAGGACGGGTGTTCAGGGGTGAGGGTTGATTGTTTGGAGTGTAGGGGGTGTAGCAGTAGCAGTTAGGCTTTCGGGTTTAGGGGTTGGGCCCGAAGCCCTACAACCCGACACTTCTCAGCTACTCTCTATTATCGCTACCAACCATAAGGGCTGCATTAAAGGGTGCCCTGAACGCTACACTCTAGAACCCAACCCCTATATATACACCCTAAAACAAAATTCCTGAACCCAAATCCCTAAACCGAAAACCCAAAACTCTAAACCCACACTCCCAGACCGAAAAGTTTTGGCCAGGTCTGAGTCTGGGAGCTGCCGGGGCGAAGGCTTCATGCGGTTGATGATATAAATCCTGCATTACCTTAAGGACCCTAAACTATGGGAATTATGGAATATATTCCTTATTATGGGTAATGCAGGATTTATGTCATCAACAGTGGGACCTCCTTTTCCTAGGGTTTTTGGAAGTTGTAGGGGTTTAGGGCGTTTGGGGTTTTAGGGTTTTTTGTGTTCTTGCGTTTGGGGTTTCGGGTTTCCGGGGTTTCGGGTTTCGGGGTTTTTGGGGTTCTAGTGGTTTTAGGGTTTAACGGGCTTTAGGGGTTTAAGGGGTTTTAGGGGTTTTAGTGGTTTTAGTTCAAAGGGGCTGCTGTAAGGGTTCAAAACAGGGGTCTTAATTCATAGATCGAGTAGGAAAATGGCCTAAAACCCCTGTTCCAATCATCAAGGGCCCCTATTTTCAACCCATAGAGTCATATAGGGTACAGCATGCCAGAGCTCTACTAGAGTACACCCTAAACCCCAAACCCTAAACCCCTAAACCGAAAGAACCTGCAGGCTGCATGGGGGCTCTTCCTAGCGATCTTCTTCCACAAGGGCATCACGGCCTTTGCGCTGGGAGTCGCTTGGTTAAGGTCACTCCCCGACTGGCGCATCTTCCTGGTGGCTACTGGGCTCTTGTTAAGGAGGACCAAAAGGATTGGGGATTAGGGCCTAGGGTTTAGCGTTTAGGGGCTGCCATAACAGTGGGGATATATGGCTTAGGTTTAGGGGTTGAGGGTCTAGGAACTAGGTGCTGCCTCAGCATTTTATGATAATTAAGATATATGGTAAATGACAGGGTGTCCTTATTACGGTAATTTCAATGAGCCCAGGCTATGTTCTGCTTTTCTGTAGCCACTCCCATCGGAGTTCTTATCGGTGAGAGTGTGGAAGGAAGCAAGGTGGGAGCTGTGCTGCAGGCCTTGGCTGCAGGAATTTTCCTTTACATCGGACTGACAGAAACGGCTCCTGGGGTAATGAAGCCCTGGCTGAAGGGGGTTTGGTGCGGCTTGCAGATGATTTGCACCCTGCTTGGATTTGGAGCTTTCGCCCTCCTGGCGGTCTGGTGCTGATGGGTTTGCCCTCATATTAAGTTCGTTGCTGAGAATGTTTGCGGAGCATGCCAGGAAAGGTACGACAAGGTGCCTTCTTGCTGCCTACGTCCGCGAAATGAGGGGTGGCTGTCCTGAGACTATTGTCCGCCGTGCTGCAAGCTGCAAGTTTGCATGCTTCCAGTCCAGGCATCTGTAGATAGGCTTGTTCTGAATCATGGTTCGTCTATATAGAGGTCTGAATAGAGTAACTTTTCGTGACAGTACCCCCATATAGATGCCATATGACCGTGTTATAAGTGTGACAATGTACCCCAAGACCTTATTCTGCTTATTCAGGCCCCGGCATTAGCGGAGCGTCTGCTCTGGATGTTGGGTATCCCTGGCTCGCGAGTGACTCACATGCAGTCACCAGCATTCTGCCGCAACCGAACCGATGTTCGCGCAGGGCTGGCTTTTTGCGCTGCTCTTTGCTGATGGCCCTCATCGGAGCATGTACAGGCGGGCTACCAGCTGCCAGACTTTCTGAGTCACAACGAGTGAAATGTGTACAGACATCAGTCTCCGCAGTTTCCCCAAGTACCCGGCACAGTACTGTTGTTTCCCCGCTATCTTCATATGCAACACATGTAAAGGTAAATGAATGCATGAAAAGGAACTGCATATTCATGCTGCTGCTGCATATATTGCTACATGAGTGAGACGATAACATTCGAGCAACAAGTTGCTAACATTTACCTTCACCTAAATCCTAAACCCTATAAACCCTAAACTTGAACGCTTAAGCCTGAACCCCGAACCCGCTTGCACCGGCCGGTCCCCGGTACGCCGCGTGCGAAACCATTGACATGGGCGGTGAACCGCGGAAATGACCCACCAGCTCAGAGGTTTAGGGCAGTTCAGGGATTTTGGGCCTAAAGGGAATTCCAGAAAGTTGGAATATGGTTTCAGGGTAGGATACCTTATAAGTTATCATAAAGGGTTTAGGATAATCATATTCCAACTTTCTGGCTTTTACTATAGGCTTTAGGGTTTACAGGGGCCTGGTGGTTCGTCAATAAAGCCAAGACCCAAGCACCAAAGCCTACCCCGAAACACCTTCACCCGATACCCGAAACCCCGAGAAAGATACAGTTCAAATCATAATGTGGGAACCTGATTAAGAAACCTTGGGCCTTCATTAGGGGTCCTTATATGAGCCCTGCTACAGTATTTGGGGGTTATAGGCCCAGGGTTTCTGAATCAGGTTCCTGAAATAGGCTCCAAAGCTGAGGATGCACTCCGCTTGCAGTTGCTACCAGTTTTCAGTGATTTCTTTATATATAAGTCCTTAAAGCTGTAGGTTCTTCGGGGTTAAGCTAGGCTCTCGAGCTATGTATGTATGTATGTATGTATGTATGTATGTATGTATGTGTATGTATATGTATATGTATATGTATATGTATATGTATATGTATATGTATATGTATATGTATATATGTATGTATATGTATGTATGTATGATGTATGTATGCATGTATGTATGTATGTATGCACATATACTATTATATGTATATGTCGTGTGTGTATATATATAATTAATATGTTGCATATTTTTATATAAAATAATGTACATATATATGTAGTAAAATATGTTTATTTTTGCATATGAGTTACTCACACTGGAAGCGGAAGTCTTCAATCCTAGGCCCAGGGCCGAGTTCCAGCATCGGTGCAGGGTTCCAGCTGTTTTTTCAGGGGTTGAGGTTTAGGTTTTAGGAGTTTAGGGTTTAGGTTTTACAGTGGGAGTTTAGGGTTTAGGTTTTACAGTAGGAGTTTAGGGTTTAGGAGTTGAGGGTTTAGGTTGAAAAATTCCTATCATGCTTAACATAAGTTTATGAGATCTGGGTCCAAACCTGGGGCAACCCCTGGTGTCAAATTCTGGGTTTGTTTGGGCGAACCCGCTGTCAACAATTTGGTCCCAGGTTCAAGCTAGCAATATCCCTGAAAATCCACCTAAACCGGAACACTACTCCCGAAGCAAACCCCCAGCGCTTAAGCCCCCACCATCAGAAACAAGCATCATTGCCAGTCGCCCCGTCTGCCCCACCGCCCCGCCCGGGCGGGGCGGGGCGGGGCGGGGCGGGGGGCTGGAGGGCGGGCGGGGTGGGGCAGGTGCCGGAACTCAAGTTTAGGCGGAAGGCGAGAACCCTGTCCAGGCAAAGAAAACCAATGGTTCAGGACTTCAGCGCTAGGAGGGGGACAGTGTTAAGCATAACGAGGCCCCCTGAACATGTTTGCGTGATTCCCGCACCGCACCCCAGCCATCAGGCGTGCACCAGAAAGGGGGCTAGTGTTAAGCATAATAGGAATTTTTCAAGGTTTAGGGTGTAAGGCTTTAGGAGTTTAGGGTTTAGGGTTGACTGAGGCCTAGATCCGAAAATCGCAAGGCCCAAGCCCCGACTTCCTAACCCTAAACCCCAAACTCCAAGCCTCGAGCCCCGGAGCCCTAAGCCCTAAACCCGGATCCCTGGCCCTGCAGAGGTGATGCTGGAAGAGGCCGTCAGCCGACAAACGGATCGTGTGTGGGCCAAGGCTGCGCTGAGCTTTGAGGGCCCAGGTCTTTTGGGGTTTAGGATTTAGGATTTAGGGTTTGGGGTTTCGGGTTTGGGGTTTAGGGTTTAGGGTTTGGGGGGGGCAGGTCTCATGGGTTCGTACGAGGGGTTCAGGGCCTTGGGGTTTGCGGATTTCAGGGTTTAAGGGTTGAGATATGCATACACAGGGCCTTCATGTGTTTCGGATTTAAGCATTTGGCCTTTTGAAGACTTGGGGACAAGGCCGCGAGGTCTCATGGCATGGTGTTCAGCATTTACATCTTCGGTTTCCTTCAAGATTGCAGGAACCAAATAGAGAACACTCGTATGCGTCGTGATCAGGTTCCTACCTCAGTAAGGAACTTTCATGAGGAACTTCAACTTCAGTTGAGGCATACCTTAACCCACCAAACCTTACTTGTTTGTAGGTTCTGACTATAAACCTTAATTAATATGGTATTTAGAGGGACCCTACAAAAAAGTAGGTTTTGGTAGGTTGAGATACCTATTATCCGAAAGTAGGGAACTGTGAACTAGGTCTGGTACCAGCGCAAAGCCCCGAAGCCTCCAATCGTTGAACCTCCTAAGCCCGAGATCCTGAACCCAGAATCGGCGACAGGCCGCATGTCTGGAAGCGCAAAACAAGGGGGGGTTGAGCCTAAGACAAGCGGGGGGGTTGGGGGGGGCGCAGCCCCCCCCATTTGCAAGCCTTCCATCCTCATGATAAACTGTACTTGCTTGCTTTAGCCCCCCTAATGCGTTTGCATGTGGCTCTGTCCTGCTTGTGTTTTGGCGAACACGCTCCTACAACCCTGTTGTTGTCCTTCTTCGAACTTGACCCCCTCCTCCATATTGGAATGTAACCCCCGTCTCCATACTGCTGGACTATGAATCTTCTCCCTCCATACTCATGGAGTATGAACCTTCCTTCCTGGACCATGACCCCCCCCCTCTATACTCCCGGATTACGAACCCCCCCCTCCCCCCTTCAACACTCCTGGAGTAAGAAACCCCCCCCCCCTCAATACTCCTGGAGTATGAAACCCCCCCCCCCCCCCTCATATTCTTTCCCCCCCCCCCTCCCCGCCCAGGGGGGGGGGGGTCAATACTCCGGAAGAACTAACCCCCCCCACCCGTGTCCTAGCGGCGTGGTCTCCCAAAATCCAAACAAACAGGCTTAACACCCAAACAAACAGGCTTCAGCTTTTAGGGCATGTTTGGACCACTCGTGAACGAATAAATGACAAGCGAGAGAGAGCCGTTTCGTCATTCTGTACATCCGGTATAGGGTCTGGCGTTTGGAATTCTGTGCACCATCCGTGAGTCGAACGGGGGGAACCCTGACAGCAGAATTGGTGGCGTTTGCATACAGCAAACAGGCGCTTTGGCCAATTTTTCGCAAGCGGTTTTGATCAAGATTGGGGAGAGCTCGCCTCTGAAGAAACACTCTCCTCGTTCGATCGGGGCGAAATGCATTGCTCTGGACGGCTACTGTTCAGTCACAAGCACGCACGGCTTCAAACCACATGTGCTAGTTTGTGCGGCTTCCGGGTTGTGGCACTCGAAATGATTGTCCATGTGCTTGCACGTGACAAATTCCCCATGTGTGAAAATGCGAACATGCTTTCGCAATCCGTCTTCCCCAAGCAGAAACACACAGTCTCTCGGACGCATTCCAATCTAGCAGGACCCGCTGCCATCAATGCAAGCACACAGACAGACACACAACTTTTCTTTGCAGCGCAGGATGAATCCTCTAGTTGTTGCCAGGCCTCCTGGTCGGGCCACAACAGGGCCTATGGTCAATGACGTGTTGTCTGGCCTGCGCTTCTGTCATCTTGGAAGCCACACGTCCCCAGTGATAGGGTACGAGGTGGCTCCACTCGCCTTCAATGCCAGACACACATGGGTTCATGTAATGTGACACAACACACAGCAGATCAGGCAACCACATCGAAGCTATAACAAATGTTCCGAATCTTTCCAAGAGACCGCCGTCTGTCACACGAACTCGGAGAAACCATTTTGCTTTGTCAGTGCCACCAGGATTCGGGTCGTACTTCATCTCACCAGCGATCTTGGGACACTCCGGGCATTGAACAGGTGTCCATACCCCTTGGTAGTCAACACGGTTCGGCCGCCGCTGATGTTGGGGGCCACGGACTGCAACCTCCCGTGGCTCGAGTGCTGGGATAGGCACTGCAGGCACCTCCGGCATCTCAGCAGGAGGGGCTGGCACTCTGCCTTCCTCGGGCTCCACGTGATCATCAGGCTCTGGGACAGGGATTGCAGCAGGCACCTCCGGCATCTCAGCAGGAGGGGCTGGCACTCTGCCTTCCGCGGCCTCCACGTGATTATCAGGCTCCGGCTCCACCGGCACCTCAGCAGGAGGTGCTGGCACTCTGCCTTCTGCTCCCTCTTGACCACTTTCATCAGGAGGCGCGGGTT